CTGGCGTTTGAGATGTCGCAAATAAATACTACTGTACAGCAATTCACAGCACATGCCTGTTTGACAGCTCAAAAAGAAAGCATCGCATCGCATCGTATCATATTTCACCCCGTCCGTTCTCCGGGGAGAAGCGGGATCGTGTTCCAGGGCTTGGCTTTTCCTTAGCTGGTTTTCATCACCTGGTTTGTATTGGCTTACTCGTTTGCTCCCCACACGATTGGATCGGGGGGAGGGAAAAAAACGGTCGTTAATATGAAGATCGCAAAAGTTAAAATGTCGCAGAGACAAATGTGATTAGACGCTGGACGAGAGTGTTCCCATAAATGAAGGTTCCATAGAATGAGGCACAGACAGGTACCGCCAAGTGATGCGGCACATTTTCATCGCCTGGGCATTGCATCTTTCGTACCTGGCCGTATGATGATACACACACTCTCCGTAGAGGCAGACACAATACAATTCTATAATGCCTTTCATAAGGATTCATTACTGTCATGCCTGCTTCTCACATTGGCTGGTCTACGACTACTCTCGCCCGGTTGAAACTAATGAAATCACCCGACCACGAATCGATCTTGATTCTCTACCTCCACTACGGAGTACGCTCGCTACCTATCTCACCCATCCCATCGTTTTTTCCACCACAAGCGCTCTAGCCGTCATGGTTATAGCAGACCAGTGGGAAATTTCACCCGCAAGCCGTGCCGCACAACGGCGCATCAATTCTCAAATTCGGTTGCATCTTCTTTTCAGCTTCCCATCGTAAAACAAAAACTTGCTTGTGAAAGAGTTGACGGGCCATCGTCAGCGGGAGATCGTCATGGAGTTTGGTGAAAAGCACCCAATCCCTGCTGTCGGTGGAGTCTGCAAGTCTACTGCAACCTACTAATCTTCTATAACACCCCAGGCCCAGGTTCAGTTGCGGCGTGTTGATGTATCGTGCTGCCACGAGGGTCTCTCGTCTAGCAGATGATGGAGGACTTTTGATACCGCTTGTTCTGGACAATGAGGAAGCTGACGTGCCATGGATGGATTAGCCTCTTCAGGTGAGAGGATCATACATAGTACATGCGCTCACAAGCTTGAGCTTGAGCTTACCTAGGTTGGCATTCAGCATTCGCTACCCCCTCTTGTATCACATTGATCGTGCTTACAACAAGAGTCTTGGCTCAAGTCAAGTCAAGTCGAGGAGCTTAGCTTTTGCTGTCCAACCCTCCCACAAGAGCACAAGAAACTACCTACTACCTTAGCCTCGCCTCTGTATCACCCACACTAAAAACCTGGCTTGGCACCCTCGCTGCACTCCATTCCCGTCGCTACACTCTGCTAGCCGCCCTCACCTCGCCTGTCAACAACAAACCTCTGATAGCCTGATTGATACTTTTGTCTAGAGTACGTCGTGCATTATCCAGGTTCAGGTTCAGGTTGCATCGAAGCCAAATAGACTCCCGGGGAATTTAATTCTTAGCGCTATCTTTTCTTTTTCCCCCTTCCCCTCAGCCGATTCTCAATCACCCTGTCAATCATCAAACCGTTGGTCTTGCTCAACCGTGCCGCAAATCCCAACTTAGAACCCCCCCGCCGTGTAGAAAAAATCAGCCCCTCTCGTCAGAAAAGACTCAAAACCTACCTAGGTCCAAGTGTCAAGCTAGGGGTACAGTTCCCGTTAGAACGTGCCGCTCTGCTCAATGCTCACGCTAGGCTAATCGAACCCGCCCGCTCGTGGATTGTCCCTAAATCCCTAGCCCTGGCCTGGCGCTGACCCTGAACCCCTGTCCCAATCCCTGCAGTGACCCCCCAGGCTCTCCTTCGAACCGTGCTGTAACCTACCGCTACCGAGGAAGGGAAAGGGAAAAGGCAGAGGAAAAGGGAAAAAAAACGTACGTACGTCGGTGTCCGTCTTCTGATCCACAGGGCGTTTGACAGCGCGAGACGGTACCCGGGGGGCACTCTGGTTCGTTTTTATGTATCAGTATCCGACGGGTGGCTTGTCCGTCTGCTAAGCTACGGATACTGTACTGTACCTTGCTCTAGGTATTCCCTGTCCTGGTCCTGGGCCTGGCCTGTTGATGCTCTGCTCTCTCTCTCCATTAGCTTTAGCACTACCTAAAAACGCCATCCTTCTCCTCCCGTTCACATTCCCCCCCATCCTGTTCCTCTCTTTTAATTGAGTGTGATGAGTTGAGTTGATTATCTGCCTGTCTGCCTGCCTGTCTGTCTGTCTCTCATATGAGTGAGAGAAAGTGTGAGAGTGTGACTTTCGAATGACAGGAAGCAAGTCCAGTGAGAGAGGTTCAATTTTCTAGCTGAAAGTGCCTCGTTCGTTCATCCACCAACAACCGTTTATCACCTCGCATTGAATCACTCACTGAGTCTCTGCCTTGATTTGAACTTGGTTGCTCACTCACCCTCTATTTTGTTTCCCTCTCTTCTCCTCTCCTTCTCCCTCTCCCTCTCCCTCCCTCTCTCTTCAGAGGCATGTTCCAGCCTCAACCCACACCTTTCGCCTCCTCCAGCTTCGCGTCCTATGGCCTAGCTTCAGACCTGGACTTTGGCTTTCCCGTGTCTGCTGGAGGTGGAGGTGCTGGCTTCTACAACAACCCGCCGCCTGCACCATCATCGCAACTTCCCCAGTCGCATGCACTCCAATCGCAAACACAGCAGCAGCAGCAGCAGCAGCCGCGTCTTGTTCAGCAACAACAAATTCCTCGACAGCAGCAACTCTCTTCTTCCCCCACTGCAACCGCGCCATCCGTATCCTCGCCCTATTCCTCTTCACAAAACTCCACCTCCAGAGCTTCTTCCTCGCCAACTCTAGCGCAACCGCCGCAAAGTCACCACCGCCATCAACAGCAACAGCAGCTTGACATTCTACAGCAGGCGCAGTACGCAGCACAACCTCCTGTTGTGCTCAAGATGGAGGATCAAGGCCAGCACGGTATGGCCGCGCAGCAGGCTGCTGCAGAGGATTATCAGCCTGTCCTTGAGGTATATCGCACCCATTTCACCCGGCGCTTGTAGCTCCCGCGTCATTTGCTTGCATGCTTCACCGTGTCCATCGCTAACCTCCGGTCTCGTAGGGTCTCGCAGTAGGGAACAAAGTCTCGAGCGATGTCATCACCCACGAGTATGCCAAAGCTGATCCCGTCTATGTCGAAAAGACAATCGTACGTTTATTTAATCTTGTTGGTGTCGCTTGCTGCTAACATGGCATGATCCAGGCTCTCCCCCAAACTTACTCACATTTTCGCCCCATTCAGGGCGATGGCAACTGTGGATGGCGAGGTATGTCTACAGCTCCCCGCTTCTTATCCCGCGACTCTCTCCGCCTATTATGAAACATGTTTGGCATGCCTGACGTTACCTTGCTTGCTTACTGCCCATGTCTCGGCAACTCTTGTGACATGTCCAACTTGCGCTAACTTTCTCACCAATAGCAATTGGCTTCAGCTACTTCGAGAAACTCGTTGAGTCGGGGGACCAGGCCAAGATCGAGGGCGAGGTGGCACGTCTTATGAGCATGAACCATTTGCTGGGCTCTGTTGGTGGCTATCCATTCTACGACGACTGGTCAGATGAGATGTTTGACTTTTTGCGCGAAGTCGCTCAGAATGTCGCCAACCCTCAGTATGCGCACTCATTGATCCAGGCCAAGTGGAACGACCCTGTCGTGTCGAGCAACATCATTTACTACCTTCGCCTACTTACAGGGACATACCTCAAGCTCAATGCTGCCAAGTTCAATCCCTTCGTGTCGGATGGAGGAGGTGTTGATGCGCACTGCCGGCAAGTCGTCGAGATCCCTAACCGCGAGATCGAGCACCTTGGCATGTCCGCCTTGGCCGAAGTCCTCCTCAGACCTGCCAACTTTGTACTTGAGATTGCCTACCTCGACCGCAGTGCAGGTACTCATGTCAACCAGTACCGTGTACCCGATGAACTCAACGCCCAAGACGCTAGCACACTTGGCCCTATCATCTATCTGCTCTACCGACCCGACCACTACGACATCCTGTACAAGGCACCCACCATGCAGGTGCTTCGTGTCAGCGGCTTCACCCACAACACTAACATCACCACCGACCAAGCGGATCTCGGACAGTATTCGACCATGAACTTTGATGCGTTGTCTATCATCCCGGGCTTCAGTAACACAATGGGAGGGCTTGCGCAGCTCGCACCGCCTCCAGCCAGTTCGGCGCCAGAACAATTCTCGCCTGTGCAACAGAGCCCATGGATGTCATCTTTCCCCGAGCCTTTGCCTGCTACGACACCGAGAGTAGCGCCACCACAGCCACCACCCATCATGGCATCTCCTCAACCCCCAACCCCGCCGGCCTCGGTATCGGGAAGTTCTGCGATTGCGCCAAGTCCAGCGATGCTACCTGCACCTGGCCCAGGACCTCAGAATTCGCTCCCCATGCGAGGCGCTTCAAGCTATCATATCCGATTCAGCCCTGTTCAGCTCGATTATGACGAGGGCAAGAACAATTTTCCGGAATCGACGTATCAAGTGACGACCAACACGTTTAAGAACAGTATTTGGAACCGAGCTCACTACTGCAATCCCAACTTTCACCCCGAGGAGTGGAATCCCGATGACGAGCACACGGATGGGAGGGTTGGCAATAAACGCAAGCCGAAGAAGGAAGCTGCCTAGTGCGACAACTTTTCACACTAACACGACCAAGGCATTGTCGGTTTTACTAGAAACCGACGGCCATGAATATTATTAGACGACGGCATTTGAGAACGACGATATGTCTGGTTCGCAATAAGAACTGAACGAGAAAAGACCGCGATCAGCATTGGGCAGGGGAATACAACGATCAGAATTGAGCGAAGGATATGGGGATGTACACGACGCTAAGCCCGGAGTGAAGGGGAATTATTCATATGAATGGTTGGGCAGACTAGCGATGCTTAGGGAGATCCTTTTTTATTTCTGCATTGTTTAATGGACAGGGACGAGAAGGCGGCGAGTCTGTTTGTGTGCATGATTATTTTGGTGGAGAGTGAGTACGACTGCTTGCATCATCATTGATGGTGTCGAGGTGAATATGGATTATCACGAAGCGACATGAGAGGAGCCCCTGTTTCTGACGATGAGCATCACGAGCAAGGCCTACGATTTGACATGGAAACATGAGAGAGCCAACGTTGAGCACGGCTGCATGGATACCACGAGGTTTACGCAAGAGAAGGAATCCTTGAAAGTAATGGGGACCGGACCGGACCAAGCATTTAGGATACTGGGGATGGGCGGCAATTTGTGGGCTCTTTTCTCGAGCCAGTTTCAAGACGGGCAACAAAAGGAAAAAGAGGCATACATCCGAAGGAACTGGGTCTCGGACGACGATGGTCTTGGCTGTCAGGCCAATTGGCGTGTCTCGCAGCACGCGCCGTTGCAGCGTGTCATTGCAACATACTTTGTTCCGGCATGTGCTCTTAGAGTGTGTCCTGTGGCATGTCTTGTTTACACGTCTACCATCATGGATGTCTGGTCGAGCCCTCATTTGTTGCGCCTTGTCAGTTGCGTCATAGCATCGGCGTTCTTCTCTACCAGGCCACACTTCAACTTTCTACGTCTGCTTCATCATTGAGGCCTTTTTATGTTTATTTTTATTTGGGACATCTTTTTAGTGTGAAACAGCATCAATACTTGGGACTTTATCGAGTGGGTTAGGATCGAGTTACTGTGGCGAGATGGGTCTTGGGAGCGAGGTGCAATTACTTGTTGCCAAGGACTTCAGGGTTGTATTGAATAGCAGACATCTCTATCTCGGCGAGATAGTTGTATCTGGGAACAGCTTAATGCAAGGGACTGTCTCGTCCATTTGACTCAGAAGTACATCACATCACATCACGTACATGCCTTATCGGACACGGCTGACATGAGATGCAATGGTTCCCTCGAGCCGTGCCGCTTCCGCTTCCGCTGTGCCGCACCGTGGCATGTGATCCACTGAATGCGAGGGAATGCAAGACAATTTTTACAAATTCGTCGCCTCAACATTTGATCATCATGATCTCCAAACGAGGCGAGATTCCAACGCGTTGCGAACCTGGATGACCCATGTAAATAAGAAGTTCTTATGATGATCGATATTTGGAATAGACAGCCACGTTTTTGGCCTTGACGTGGTCTAGAACATGACAAGACAAGGGGGCCACGAGGTTTGCTTTGGTGGTCCACCCGGGGAACGGCAAACAGGGTCCGCTGACGTGACGTGCAAAGAAATGATATTCTTCAAGGGCCAGAGGGGGGAACGGACCATGCCAGGGTTACATGAGCGTAAAAGAGAGTTCAAGGCGAGAGGAGATTGAACTACCGGGCAAGGCAACCTCGTGGGAGACAGGCCCCTTGGGAGCAAGGGCTTGACACAGGGTGCCAGAATAAACTCCTCACAGAGCTTCGTTAGTTTATGCTAATCTACTTGGGCATTTTTGTCACAGTATTGAGATTTGTTGCAGGGCGGAAAAGAGAGGCCGTACAGGGTCAGGGGGGACGATGGTGGGAATGAGACAGACATCGCTTAGAGAAGATCAAGAGATTAGCAGAAGGGATAAAGTTAAGTATTGTTGTTGGTTCACTCAACAATCATATCATATCATATCATCAGTATGCGTCATCTCATGCATACCGTGATTATACCCTTCACCCTAAGCGCCCAGCAACCATCCAATCCCGCTGTTGAGATACCGGATCTCAATCTTGCCCGTGAAAAGGGTCTGGGCCAATGGGGAGCTAGGGTAGCTTAGCTTTTGAGAACGGGCCGCGTCTTTTTTTTCCTGTTGAAATTGGCCGACACGTATCGGGTAACTTTACTGTTTCCCCAGACTTGCCGATGTTTCCAACAGAAAGAGGGGTTTAAACGGAGAGGGGGCGAAGTAAGTTGTTTGCTATGGTACCTGTAGGTAAGTGGAATGATGACGAATGTTTGCTTCTTATTGTTAAAGTGAGGCTTACGGGGAAGGCGAAGGCGATGGCTGAAAAAGCAAAAGGGTAATAAGTGAGTATTTGGAAGGTTGGAAAAGCTTCTAGTTTTGTTCTGTACCTAGTTTGAGTCGACATGGCTTGTGTTAGGTGTTGTGAGCAGCTGTCTTGGAGTATCGAGGCTAAGGTAGACTAGCTCTAGCTGTGCTATAGCAGCCAATGTTATGGCTGGGTTTGGTATGCAAAGCCCTGGCCTAGCTGACTTGAATCATCTGCTAGGAGACCCTGCCTTGTCTTACCTTGTGAAGCTCCTCCACTTTGCAAGGTAGTGTAGAGGTAACCACTCTTTTTTCCTCAGACTCCAACCAACACAAGACAAGACAACTGAGGAGTTGTGCTGTGCTGTGCTGTGACTTCTTGACTGTACTGTACTGTACCTATCCGTATTCGAGCTGATTTAATTCCGTCTCGTCGTCCTTTTCTCTTTTCTCCTCCTCGTCCCCTCCTTCTTTAATCCCTCTCTCTCTTCTCTTCTCTCCCACTCTCTTTTTGGCCATGGATGTTCGTAAAAGACATATTTCCTTGCGCGTTCTCGATACCTTTTCTATATTCCATTATTAATACCAAACTCTCGATACCATCTTCTTCTCTTTTCCTCTTCAAAGTACATAAAATAGCTGGCGGCCCCTAACTTGATCTCGCTTTAATATCCCCTTGTCGATCCTTCTACCGAGCTCTCATCAAATGTCCCGCTACGATCCGGATCGTTCTTCCATCACAGCTTCTTCTGCGACTTCAAAGAGCGATATGGCGCAGTCAAACGATGGGCTGCAAAGGATGAATCGCCTTACGGTGGATGATGTGAGTCCTGCTGAGGACGATGACGATTACAGCGATACGACCTCCAACTACTCGACTATTTCCGAAGACACGCTTCCCCTGATTCGCGAATACGGACATACCTACCACGGGTCTGGCCAACTTCTCACGCCGAATGATGCTTCCGAGGCGCATCGCTTGACGGTCCAGCATGAGCTCTACCAATTGTGTCTCAACGGCAACCTTGCTGACTCGAAACTACCGTTTGATCAATATACCCCCGAGGATCCGATGGAGATACTGGATGTCGGTGCTGGTACGGGAATATGGGCTTGCGATATGGCGAAGCGGTATCCCCAGATCAACATACTCGGCATCGACTTGAGTAGCGCATTATTACCCGAAGATGTCCCTCCGAATGTCACCTTTGAAATCGCCGATGCTACAGAAACTTGGCCGAACCGCACATACGATTTTATACACATGCGCAGTCTAGCTGGTGGCGGTGTTCGTGACTGGAACGCTCTGTTGGCCGAAGCCTATGAGCACCTCAACCCCGGCGGGCAGATCGAAATAGCAGAGATACGACCCCATTTCTTCGATGCCGATCCCGAGCACGTCGATTCCGAATCAGGAGAAAAAGGCGAAGTTGGCGCAGCCTGCAGAGAGTACGAGAAGATATTCGAGGAGATGTGCATCAAGCTCGGCATGGACTGCGACCCCATACCCAGAGTCCCTGAAATCTTAACCACCCTGGGAGCCGATCTCATCCGAGTTCGGGTAGATTGGCTACCGATACAGAATTGGGGAAGTGACCCGGTCACCCAGCAGAAACGCAAGGCCCTGGCGGAGATGGTCGAGTGCGGTAGGTGCCATTTGCGGTTCTGAAACATCGAGTCACACACGCTAATCTGACTTGGACCAGGTATAGAGAATTGGACGTTGAGGCTATTTGGACTAGGCGGGTGGGAAGAGAAAGCCACGCGGGCTTTGCTTGACCGTGTTAGAGAAGAGATCAACGATCCCATGCTACGCAGTCTGGGGAAAGTGTAAGTATTCTTGTGTTGGTGCGCGTGTTAGTGGCTAATTTTGATAGGACGTTCGTCACGGCTCGAAAGGAAGTCAGCGGCAAATAGGTTTCGTAAGGAATAGGCATAGAGATGTGCATATATTGGAGTTTTTGGGTCATCACGGCGTCAAAGGCATTGCATTGTGTCTGGGGCGGATGTCAGGAAGAATAGGGAATGGTGCAAACCAATGAGCTCGGGGAGGATATCCCGCGATGGGAAATGGATACCATATGGAACATATAGGGCATGGGTTGGATTATGGAAGAGATTTGCCGAGGTGATTGAAGTCAAATCCAGTTACTGGGATATAAATGGGCGGATGGAATCGGATACCACACGCCTCGGATACAGTACAAGGCATCGGACGGGGCAGAGGTCTACGAGCATGAAGTACCGTTTCAGCGGTTACAGACCGGGATGAGTCGACCGGAACATGTGGGAGATGCAAGCTGTCAAAGGTATATTCGTCTGTCAGGATGACTCCCGATACTTGATCATCTCACGTCATATGCACTCACTTCACGCATATCTCATGCTACAGAGATGCCCACAGTACGCCCCATGTACCCATACAAAACAGATCAAAAGAGAACAGAACAACTCCAGATATCCAAATCAAACAGTCTCGATATATCGCTTCATTTCCCTGTAATTTGTCAGTCAAGTCAACGAGTAGTGATGAGAAGAGTGGGAACATACCAATCAGTTACTGCCTCGTCATATAGACGGACCTCATGCTCTCTTGTGCCGCCAAAGTGCTCCACGAAATCATCACCAAATACTTCCCGCGCAATACTGCCCTTCTCCATGAAACGCACCGTAGCCTCCTTAAGACTCTTGGCCAACCTCTCGCCCGGGTCAGCGTCACCGCCGACATCCTGGCCCATTGCAAGCGGAGGCGTAGGAATCTCGAGTTTCTTCTCAACGCCGCGCCATCCACAGCCGAGAATGGCTGCGAGGACGAAGTGGGGGTTTGTGTCTGCGCCGGGAACTCGGACTTCGAAGCGTGTTGCTGAGGGTTTGGGTGTGATTAGACGGATTGACGCGGCGCGGTGTTCAAGACCCCATGATACCGTGACGGGAGCCCAGAAGTTCTCGACGAGGCGCTTGTAGGAGTTGATGGTTGGTGCGAGAAGCGGCATGATGTCAGGAAGACCGACGAGGAGACCAGCGAGGAAATGACGTCCCATATCAGAGAGGTTCTCAATATCACTCCACTTCGCATTCTCATCTTTAGTCTCCCGCGCAAACAAATTCTTGCCATCCTTATCAACGATCGAAACATGCATGTGCCCGCTATTTCCAGGCAGGCCCTGTTTCGGCTTGGCCATGAAGCACGGCGTGATGCCGTACTTTGTGCTCACGCTCTTGACGACGTACTTGAACAGCGCCGCACGGTCAGCCATCTGCGCGATCTCGCCGAACTCGAGCGCGGCCTCGAAGACGCCGGGCCCGGACTCGGTGTGCCAGCCCTCGATGTCGCAGGAGAACTTGGCGCATGTGTTGAAGACGTCGTAGTAGTATTCTTGGTTGTGGACGGGGCGGGTGAGGGAGTAGCCGAACATTCCTTCTGTGAGGGCGGGGAGTTGGTGAGGGGGGTTTTGTTGGAGATATGCGGCTGGGGAGGAGGATGAAGGGTCGGGGGATTTGAATTGGTAGAATTCATATTCAGCTGTGTTTGTTAGTACAAAAATTCAATTTAAGAGGTGAACGGAGAACATACCGCCTGCCATGGCGCCATAACCGTGCTCCTTCAGCTTCCCAAGCTGGGTCTTAACCAGACCTCTGGGACAAGCACAAATAGGCTTCTTGGTCTCAGGATCCAAAAAGTCCACCAAGAACAAGGGAACGTCATCTTCCCATGGAATTCTCCTAAAGGTAGAAAGATCTGGAATGGCGAGAAGATCGTGGTATCCATTCTCAGCATTTGAGATCTTGAGCTCGCGGATATATGTGCGATCGTGCATATCCCAGCCAAAGATGACGGAGCAGAAACCAAAGCCGGCTTCAGCAATGGAGAGGAACTTCTTCTTGGATACTAGCTTGCCGCGCAGGATGCCGTCGACGTCCACGCCTGCGAGCTTGACCATGTTGTCATTTTGGAGGAGTTGGGGGAGGGAGTCGACGGTGATGGATTTAGGGTCTGGAGAAGCCATGGTGAAGGGAGTGAGATGATGATGTGAAGCGAGGGTTTAAAGCTGCGAAGATGGAAGAAATGCGCGGTATGTTTATGTTATAAAACAAAAGATATTCTTCGGGATTATACAGCTCAACAACGGTGGAGTTTGAGGTCAAGCCGTTGAAAAGATGCGCGCGGTCCAAGAAAGATCAACAATGATGAATGCGGGGAGGACAGCAGCCAAGATTTAGAGAGATACTGTAGTATTTGAGACTACCTATGGAAAGAGGGGGAGTGAGACAAGTAAACAGGTTTGTATCAACTGAACTGAGACTGGGAATATGGGCAGCGCGGCTACGATAAGACGAATGCGACGATAAGACAATGAATGCTTCAGTGACGTAGACTCTACGGAAAAAGAGTGGGGAGCTGTGATGTTCGGTGCGCGATGCAGGGCTAGTACCAATTGAGCGAAGTAGCGGGGAGGGGCTTATCTGGGACTGGCACTGGGAGGTTTTAGTGGGAGCAGCAGGGTTTGGAATAGCTTCATTGCCGCGCTGGAAGTGTCATTGAACCAACCCCAACCCCGCGATCTAGATCCTGAAGCTTTGGCCAAGGGACATGAACATAACATGGGGTAAGATTAGTTTCACGATACGGGCGGTTCGCTGCAATGCCGCGTTCCGATATTCTTCATGTTATCTTTAACCCGCTTCAACTGCCGTTTCTATTCTGAAATGTAACCGCGCCCTGTTGTGCAATTGAAGGTAACCGCGTGCTGTGATTATGTTGGGAGAGTGAGATTATGCTTTGGCTCGGAGTTTGATGTTCTCGTGACCTGAGCTAGAGAGCCGACATCGCTAGTGGCAGGGGTGTTGCGTGGCAGTGGCACAGCTGCAAGCTTGAGATCTGACATACCGAGAAGGGACCCTGGATCTGAAGTTTGTTGATATTGCGATAGTATTTTATGAGAATCGGGTGCTGAGGTTGTGATGATAAGGCTGGGATCAAAAGCTATGACTGTGTTGAATTGACTGGATCACATGAACATGGTCTGATGAAAGTAGAATTACTTGTAAGACAGCATTGAACTCAACACTTTTGTTATCATCTTCAAGCTCATGCATCTCTATCAATATCATATCCTCACTGATAAGCTCCCCTCCAGCTATCCAGCCCACCTCACCTCACCTCAGCCATCTCGACCCATACAGTTGACCAAAGCACTAATACTGTACCCTTCAACTGTCCCTTGATCTTTAATAATAGCCGCGATGACAGCCTCCACTGCAACCGCCAACCGCCCTCGTCCGTTCTCGGAATTACCTATCCCATCTCCACGATCTTTCCCATGACTGGCCCACGAGCATCAGACGACCTTTAGCTCTACCGCCCTTTTTCCCATTCCAGCTTATCGGAGCTTCCAGACGCTTTCGATAAGACGGAAGCTTAAGGAATAACTTAAGGACCCCTCTGCCCCTCATTGTGTCACCGTCCATCCCATCAGAATCCTATATATTTTTCACGAGATACCCACCGCTTTACTTGCCATTCTTTCTCCATACATCGATTCTTCTCTCTTATCACTCTTCGTCTTTTCTTCAAAACTCACTTTACACATATTCACAATGGGTCGTCTCGCTGGAAAGAACGCCGTCATCACTGGCGCTGGAGGGTATGTTTCTTTGTCTTGCTGTGGTGCATGATACGATACTAACGATCGCAGTGGCATTGGTCTTGAGACCTCCATTCTCTTCGCCAAGGAGGGCGCTTCCATCCTCATGTCCGACATCTCCCAGCCTGCACTCGAAAAGGCCGCCGCAAAGGTCAAGCAGCTCGTCCCCAATGCTCCTCGCGTCGAGATCCTCGTACGTCCAATATCCCCCCCACCACACCAACAGCAGTACTGACTCGTAACAGAAAGTCGACGTCTCCAAGGAATCAGAAGTCCAGGCCATGATCGAGTCCCTCGACTCCTGGGGCGGCATTGACGTCCTCTTCAACAACGCCGGCATCATGCACGCCCAGGACGACGACGCCGTCAACACCCCCGAGAACATCTGGGACCTCACCCAGAACATCAACGTCAAGGGCGTCTGGTTCGGCTGCAAGCACGCCGTCCTCTCGCTGCGCCGCAACAAGAAGACAAAGGCCTCCATCATCAACACCGCCTCCGTCGTCGCCCTCGTCGGCGCCGCGACACCCCAGCTCGCCTACACCGCTAGCAAGGGCGCTGTCCTCGCGCTCACCCGTGAACTCGCCATGGTGCACGCCCGCGAGGGCTTCAGGTTCAACAACCTTTGCCCTGCGCCGCTTAACACACCGCTCCTGCAGGACTGGCTCGGTGATGATAAGGAGAAGCGTCACAGACGTGAGGTTCACTTCCCTATGGGGCGGTTTGGTGAGGCTGTTGAGCAGGCGCAGGCTGTTTTGTTCTTGGCGAGCGATGAGTCGAGCTTTGTCAATGGACATGACTTTGCGGTCGATGGTGGTATGACCAAGTGCTATGTCACTGCTGAGGGACCTGCGCATCCTCCTCCTGAGAACAATGCTACCAAGGACTCGTTGTAAGGATGAAGAGATTTGAAGGATTTGGTTGGGATATCTGTAGTAACGATTAGTATGATTCAATAATGAAATAAATTGTCACATCACAATAAGCGTGCCGTCACTCGCGAGGATGAACCTGGCTGATCATATACAATATCATTTGTAACGTATTCGTCAATATACAAAAAGATACCCAAACTCCGATTCATGCTTTTCCTTCTCTTAGCCTCCCTCTAATGGAACTGTCCCTCAGTGTTTCCCTCACCCATACTCTTACTGCTCGAGCTTCCACTCTGGATAGCACCCAGAATACCATCAATGTAGCTGGCGCCACTCCACTTCTGATGCGTCAAAACATCACACTTAAGATCCTTCTCACGGCGTTGCACAATATCAACATAAGCCTTCATACCATCCTTCTTAAACTCGCGCGACAGCTCAGTTGTGATTGTAGCGTTGGAATGCAGACCAGCAAGAGAAATAAGCTGAAGAACGAATCCTTCACGGGCAATGTCCCAGATGAACGACTTAAGGGTCTCATCAGTGAAGCCGTGAGCCATCCAGTTGAACGAGGGGGAGAGGTTGTACACGAGGCCCTTGCCAGGGTTGACCTCGCGAACAGCGCGGCCTAGCTTAGTAGCTACCTCAACGTTGGGGTCTCCTGTCTCAACCCAGAGAAGGTCCGCGTAGGGGCTGAATGCAAGAGCGCGCTTGGTAGCCGCCTGCATACCAGCGCGGTAGTGGTAGAAACCTTCGCGGGTGCGGGGGACGTCCCAGTTGAAGTACACAGGCTCCTTGGTGTACTTGTTTGCAAGGCCGCGACGGCGGGAGATACCCATGTCGCGGTCCTTCTCAGTCTCGGCGAGATACTCGTCGATCTTGGCTTGTGAAACGCCCTCCTTCTTCATGTGTGCGACGGCAGCTTCGTCAAAGGTGACGAGCTTGGTGTTCTTGACCCACTGAGCTTCAAAAGCATCGATCTCAGCGCCAACAGCACCCTTGGCCTCCATAGCCTGGATGGTCTCAGCGAGAGGCTCAATGGAAGGATCCGAAACACCGAGTATGAACTCGTGGTCGCGAACGTCAATGGCGGATGAGAGAAGCTTGCCGGACTCAGAGTCTGTTCGTGCAATGACAAGGTTCTCACAGCCCATGACATCCCACTGAAAGCGCGTCGCAACAAGACGGTTGATATGCTCTCCGATGGGAACAAGAACCTTACCCGCCAAGTGACCACACTTCTTTCCACCATGGAGCTGATCCTCAAAGTGAACAGCCGCAGCACCATTCTCAGCGAACAGCTTAGCGAGCTTAAGAACAGCAGACAGACCACCATGGCCAGTATCACCGTCTGCGATGATAGGGCGGAGGTAGTCAACGTATGGTGTCTTTGTGCGCTCCTCGGCTGTCATCTTGCGACGAAGGTCCCACTGCTTGCGATCGTGCATGTTCTGCGCCTTGGCTAGACGCTGGACTTGGTTTGGAACGGTGTTGTACGGGTAGTCGCCGAAGTCGGGGGATACCTCGTTGGTAGAGGTCAGGAGGGAGGAACATGCCCAGCCTGAGATGTAGAGGACTTCCTGGTGAGGAGCTTGTTGGGTCATTTGCACGGGGTCAATTGCGCCCACTACAAACTGTTAGCTGTGTACTTTCTCGAGTGCCGTAGGAGACTTACTAGTATGAATAGGCTCGCCCTGGGCCACGCGTTCTTGGATCAGATTGAACAGCTTCTGCGCCATGACAGAGCTAGGATACTGAACCTTCTGTGTGCCCCTCTTGGTCGCAACATCCTCCGCGCTGTACGGCCTCTTGATACCCTGATATCTCGGCGACGCCCACCACGCCTCGATCTCCTTCACCGTAGCTTCGTACAGCCGATCCTCCGCCTCGCCGGCCTTTTGCGACTCTGGCAGAAGCTGGAATGCGTCGGCGGGTTGTGTAGCGTGCGTGCTGAGCTGCGACATCTTTGCGACGGGGGTGGTGGATATGGAGCGGATGGCGAGGAGGGGTGCTACGCTTCGGGGCTTGGAAGCGGAGAGGAGGCGCTGGGGAGCTCGAGTTGATAGTCTGCGCAACATTTTGGGTGTTGTTGTGAGGATGAGAGAGGGAGGAGGAGGAGAGGTGAAGAAGAAAGAGGTGGTGGTGGATAGATCGGGAATAACGGAGTGGATGAATAATAAAGTCGAGCACTTGCGGAGGATGATTTGAAGCCCGTGATAGCTACAAGACCAGCCAGCGCCCACGACAAAATATGAAAATATTAAGTCCAGTTAATACTGATTTTATTCTAAGTGAAAGAAAACTTCTTCTAATATCTCTAATTTATCTATTGATCCCACTGCTGAGCCATCATGACAAGAACAAAACCCAAACTCGATGACCGACCGGTTACCGACCAACAGCTCCAGTAACCGAGCAGATCAAAATTATACGTCCCTTATAAATGCTTGACAAAAAAAGCAGCTTACAAGTTGGAGACTCATCGCATGTCAGCAAAGCCTTGGTTAAGAAGCAGCATTGCCGACGAATTGGCCAATGGGTGAGCTTGTACGGCAAACAGTCGTGAAGCTGATTGGTTGAGATGCATGTTTGAGCCGTGGCATTCAGGTCGGTTCATGGCGGGTTTCCTCGGTTGGAGTCGCCATGATAACCGTGGGATTTGGCCTCAATGGGAGACTTTTGGTGGACAGCACAGGGTATTCTCAGAAGATGATTGCATTTTGAGTATCACTAGAGCTTCCTCTGTTCTATAGTGCACTTTTTCTACTTATCAGCATATCGTGAGACTGTCGTCTTCTCCGCACTCACTGCGTCATAACAGTTGAATTCAACCCCGCATGACAAAATAAACGTGCAAACTGCCTGTCAACAACTCTCGTTGGATGCCCCCGCTCCCCCGGCTGTTACCCCAGATTCAACCAAAGGCACCCCCACCTACCGCTTCAGCTCGTTTACCACAGGGAACCCTCGGCCCAACTCCCTCCTCATACTTGATCTCTTCTACTCCTCATATTTGATCTTCTTCTTTTTTTTATTCTTTCCTTACTCCAATCCTCTCTGTATCCCCTCCTCACACATCACAATGGCTCTCAACTTGACATCTTCCCGCAGGGCTCTGGGCTCCCTCAAGGTAAGCTACCCAACTTACATGTGATAAAAGAACACCATAAGCTCACACACTTTACAGCCCCTCACCCGTGCCGCTTTCTCAGGTGTCCGCGGCTATGCCACCGCAGAGCCTGATCTCAAGGCCACTCTGCGCGAGGCCATCCCCGCCAAGCGCGAGCTCCTCAAGAAGGTCAAGGCGCACTCTAACAAGGTCCTCGGCGAGGTTAAGGTCGAGAACACCCTCGGCGGCATGCGCGGTCTCAAGGCCATGGTCTGGGAGGGTTCAGTCCTCGATGCCAACGAGGGCATTCGCTTCCACGGCCGCACCATCAAGGATTGCCAAAAGGAGCTCCCCAAGGGAAAGACAGGAACTGAGATGCTCCCCGAAGCTATGTTCTGGCTCCTCCTCACCGGCCAAGTTCCCTCTGTGAACCAAGTCCGCACATTCTCCCGCGAACTCGCAGAGAAGGCGCAGATTCCAGAGTTCATCTCAAAGATGCTCGATGACTTCCCCAAGGATCTCCATCCCATGACACAATTCGCCATGGCTGTTTCTGCGCTCAACTACGAGTCCAAGTTCGCCAAGGCTTACGAGCAGGGTCTTAACAAGGCTGATTACTGGGAGCCTACCTTTGACGATTGTATCTCGTTGCTGGCTAAGCTTCCTACCATTGCTGCCAAGATCTACCAGAACGCTTACCGTGGTGGTGGTGCCCTGCCAGCTGAGGTCGATCTTGAGCAGGATTGGTCGTACAACTTTGCTGCTATGCTTGGAAAAGGTGGAAAGGAGAATGAGAACTTCCAGGATCTTCTGAGACTTTACCTTGCTCTTCACGGTGATCACGAGGGTGGTAACGTTTCTGCCCATGCCACCCACTTGGTTGGAAGTGCCCTGTCGGATCCTTTCCTGTCTTACAGTGCTGGTCTCCAGGGTCTGGCTGGACCTCTTCACGGGTAGGCATTTCTCTCTCCCCAAACAGAAACTCTGCTAACATGTCTCAGCCTCGCCGCCCAGGAGGTTCTCCGATGGATCATCCAGATGAAGGAAGCCATTCCCGCCAACTACACCGAGCAAGACGTCAACGACTATCTCTGGTCCACCCTCAACTCAGGCCGCGTCGTCCCCGGCTACGGCCACGCCGTCCTTCGCAAGCCCGACCCCCGCTTCGAAGCCCTCATGGACTACGCCGCCGCGCGCCCCGAGATCGCCAACGACCCCGTCTTCCAGCTCGTCGAGAAGAACAGCCGCATCGCCCCCGAGGTCCTCAAGAAGCACGGCAAGACCAAGAACCCCTACCCCAACGTCGACAGCTCCTCCGGCGTCCTGTTCCACCACTATGGCTTCCACGAGACGCTGTACTACACTGCTACATTTGGTGTCTCTCGTGGTCTTGGACCTCTGGCTCAGTTGATCTGGGACAGAGCTCTGGGTCTGCCTATCGAGAGACCTAAGAGCATCAACCTGGAGGGCATTCTTAAACAGGTTGAGGGTCAATAAGAAGAGAGATACCCAAAAGAAAAAGGCGGGATGATCATATAAGGTCTTTGAATGTATATAGCGTCGTGACAGAGTAGCCTATGATTGACGATTTGCTTGACCAACTGTTTTCTCCCGTGATTTTGATTTTTGTGTGAATCGCATGTCTCATTAGTCTAGTTCTCACTACCCTCTTCACTCTCAGTCTATAATCCTCTGATATCTGTCTATGCCAACACCTTCTCCAAATGATCAAAGTACAAATCATCCCTCAACGCCTTTCCATTAACAAGCCCCTCATACGGAAACGGACTCTTCTCCCCCGTCTTTACATATCCCCTTCTAACATACCAGTCAATCAATTCCTTCCTCGTCCAGATAACCCACATCGTCATGATCTTTGTTCCCCAAGTCCTAACCGCATAATTCTCCGCATACCCAAGCACCTGCTTTCCAATACCGCCAGCCTGAAGCTTCGGCGACACGGCAAAGAGGCCAAAGTAAGCGCGCTCAGAGTCTTTCTGAACAACCTCGCAGCATGCGACGAGATGGGGATCGCTGTCGCCTTCTGGCGTTGAAGTTCCAGATGAGGAGGGGGAGCTTGTGAAGGCGAGGATGACTGCGCCGTTGGGATCGGTGATTTTGGCGAGGAGATCGGCGGGGGATATGCGCTCGTCGGCGAGGAGGTCGGCTTCTGTTGTCCAGCCTGCGCGGGAGTCGGGGCCGCGGTAGGCGGACATTACGAGGGCGCGGAGAGGGGTGACATCTTGTGGTGTTGCGGGGCGGAATGTGAGAGACATTGTGGGCGAGTGAGAGTGTGAGTTGTGAATAGCTTCAATTGGTGTGAGATGAGATGTTGTCGCACTTTCCAGGCTTTGAGAGAACGTACACCTCAGTTGAGATAAAGTGTATGGCTAATGAGGCGACAATTGACGAAGAATGCTTGCTTGCTTCAATTGAGGGCTAGAAGAGAGGTATGAGGTTGAGAGAACAAGTTGTCCAAGATCAACTGCGCTTCTCGAAATATTTAAAATATTTAGCTCCGATGCAGGAGGGTCCCTTTTCTGTCACAATCTTTAAGCTGCATCGGCAGTTTGCGACGGTCTCTGTCGCATACGCCCTAGAAACGACTCAATTAACATTTTGCCATCCAACGTCAAGCCATAGATCGTTTAACTTTGACAAAACGGGAGTCCATGTGGATCAATTCCCACCATTCATGGTTCCATGAACTATCCCGTTTTGTTAATTCTATACGACAGCCCTACGGCACCAGTCTTCGTGACGAACTTGTATGGATCGTCCGTTTAATACCACGTCGACCATGATTATCAATCTGAACCGATCGCGGAGGTTTATAATAAAGTTCGGTCTTGATGGTAAGTTTACAATGCATCTCAATTGATCAACGCCAAACCTGCTATAAATATCCCTGTTCCTGTGTAGGTTTTCTACAGTATATATGACTTGAACCAAACAAAAGTGTGTATATGCCATTACAAAAAAAGAGAAATAAGAAACATCTAAAAAAATCTGGAAAAGGAAAACACAACTCTATGTTTTTAAACCCGTCTACTCTAAGCAGCATCCTGAGCGGGAACCTTTGAGTACTTGGCAGCACTGTACTCGAAACCCTGGTTCGTCGTGTCTTCACCAGCACGGTACGACATGAGATCGTGGTTCTCGGCGGCGGCCTTGTCGTCGGCCATCTTGGCCTCGCTGGCACCCGCGGCGCGTTGTCGCCAGAAGTAGAAGCCTAGAGCTCCAAGGCCGATGGCTGCGGCGCCGATGCCGCCGGCGTAGATTCCTGTCTTTGTGCCGGCGGGGAGGGCTTCCCATTTCTCGGAGGTTGTCTTCTCGGGTTCCTTGTAGAGAGCTTCGTAGGCGGTTGAGTTGCCCCTGTTCGTGGTTAGTATGAGATACTGAGTGGCAGATTGAGGGGATTGGAAGTGACTTACTTAACGATTTCAATGCTCTCCCAGCTGCCGGTTTTATCGCCGTAGACGTACTCCTTTCCGGTGCTGGCATCTTCGACGTAGACACTCTTGACGTGCATGGTATAAGGACCCTTTCCGTAGTCGGTGTCTGTAAATTGTCAGCACAACCCAATGTCTTCAGAGACAAGCAACTTACCACCGCCAGCCCATTGGCGTGTTCCCTCAGGCATTGTAGGATCACCAGCAGCCCAGATTCCAATGCTCAGTCTCATGGGTGTCTGAGGATAGCTATCCATGTCATCCTTGGCAACAACTGTTCGCACATTCTCTCCATCAATGTACCACTTCAACTCATCCTTCGTCCACGTCGTCGTATAGTTGTGGTAATCCTCCTGCATACCACCCTTGACATAGTGCCACCCCGCCTTGGTAAAATCCTCAACACCCTTTCCGTAGTAGTTTGTCGAAGCATGGGTGTCATTCGCGCCCAGAATCTCCCAGTCGACCTCATCCAGATCGTCGCTCAGCCACATCATGGAGCTGATGATTCCAATACCGGGAGCGGCCTTCATGACGAGTTCAGTGCGGCCGAAGAAAAAGTAGAATGCGGTGCGCAGAGTAGGCGAGTCGCCCTGCTTGGCGACGGTGAAGGAAGCGCCGTCTTTCTCATCGTAGGTGACGCGTCCGACGTGGTTGTCCCAGTGGTCGCTGGAGGGCGTGTCGTTGAAGTGCCAGAGATAGCTTGTTCCGAAAGCCGGGTTAGGTTTGCAGTCTGTTTCGTTGAGAGGGTTGCAGTCCGAGGTTGTCTGAGCAGTCGCAAGGCCAAGAATGGCGGCTGCGGGAAGAATGTATCGCGAAAGCATGGTGATTTGATCCGAGTTCAGTCCTATCAAAAATGAAAAAAGAGAGGTAAAATGAATGATATGAAGAAGTGAGTCGAGTCTGTCGAGATCAAAGGAGTGAATGGGTGATGAAACGAATGAAACACCCAAGGATCAAGCAATATGAGATAGACAGAGTGACAGACAAGGAAAGAAGAACAACTCAAAGGAAAAGAGGGACTTGTTGATCTACCTACTCAAAGAGCACGCATGAATAATGAGAGGAAAAAAAGAAATGGAGAGAGAGAATAAAAGCGGCAAACGGCAGAAAAGGAGACAAAAGAGAGCCAGTACCGAGGACCCATTCTCGCAGGCCAAGCATGACAGGGCTCTCAGGAGGCCATCGCCAAAACCTCTAGATCGAATGGGCCTTGATTAATTTCAGACCACTCAGAAGGCCTACATCTAAACTGCGCCGGCGTATCACCTACAAGGGGACATGCGACGCGCCAAGACCTGGGCGGGAAGGGCTTTTTACAAGGGTTCCATCAGTGTGTCCATGGCTGCTTCGCTGAAATTAGAACCAGGATATAGGACGGACTAACGAATTGGCATATCCACTTGAGGATCTTGGCTGGATTGAAATTTGAATCCAAAGACAGAGAGAAGCTGTTGCTAAATATGAACATGACATGGCAAATGGAAGATTGGTCGTAGATCGACAGGGGGAAAGGGGGGCGGGAAGTGGGATTCTTTTTATTGGCGCTTGGTGAGCATGCAAGATCTGGAAATTGGGACTAGTAGAGGGACGAACTAACTAATGCAGCGGGAGGCTCTGCATATTCGGGTTTAAACTTTTTGAATTCATGATAACCATAACATAAAGGGTAACTCAATTTGTACTCTCTCCGAATATCGAGTCAATGTTTCTCAAGTTTCGGATACATTAATCTTGATCCTTGCATTGCCATTTAAACTACCCCATTGCGAGGGCAAGGATCGTGCGGTCAGTCATTTATCTTGGGCTATACATAGCCCACCCAACCTTGATCTTAGTCTTAGGCCTTGCTGGCCAACTTGGCTCTCACTCTCTTGCTTGACTCGATGACCAGGTCCTCGTCGTAGATCTTCAGGACGCTGGGGTTCTTGCTGATGGCTTGCGCCCACTTGTAGAAGTTGGGGGTCTCTTTCTCGAGGCGGGAGGGGAGATTGGCTGGTAGGACGCCGTGCTTGGCGAACGACAACAGTCGAATGACGAATGGGGCTATGAGGACCTGTTTCTCGTTAGCTATCGCATTCATTCAGGGCCTTTTGGATTGGGTACCTCTGCAAAGGTGAGCTTATCGCTCCCGTTGAAGAAAGGCGCTGCATTCTTGAGGAGAGGCTCAACCTCCTTGAGGATACCAGCAACGGCATCGTCCACAGCCTGGTTAACCTCGTCCTCCGTCTGAGCCCTGTAAATAGCCTTTCCGATATGCGCCTGGACCTTGTTCGAGTACGCATCAGCGAAGAAGGCCACCCTCGCTCTGGTCAAGGGCCCGTTCTTGTCCGTCGACGCGGGGAGGAGATGGCTGGGATACGCATCTACGAGGAACTGGGCGACGATGGCGGACTCGGTGATGGTCTCGCCGTTGTAGATGATGGTTGGGACGAGGCCGCGGGGGTTGATCTGCAGATACTCTGGGGTTCGGGGTGTGCTGAGATCAATGATTTCCTCCTTGACGGGGAGACCAAGTTCGGCGAGGGTGATGTGTGCCCTGTGCGCGACTGCGGGGGCAAAAGGTCAGCGGAGTATATGATGAACGTGATATGATTGATGTACATACAAGGGCACGCATGGTTGGTGTAGAGGGTGATGTCTGCTTGAGGTTGAGAGCCCATTTTGACAGCTGTGTTGATATGCCGAGTAGTAATTTGTTTGGTCAAAGAACTAGAAAAGAACAAATTCCGAGCAGGACTTGCTGTAAGTCTTGTAGTAAACAACCCCGCCATTTCTCTCTCAGTGCGGAATTTCGGAAGGAGGCAGCAAACGCTGCATTATTAATTCAATCGGCATTTCGCAATATTGCACCATCGGCTTTGAGATACGTCCGAAGCGCGAGGAGTGGTTGCGTCATTTCGCGTGTTTGATTGATAAGGCGCCGCGCGGGGTGACGCATCTTGTGTAACTTTCCCTTTGATGACTGATGTTGGTTTGATGGAGTGAGGCTTGAGTATTTGATGTTTTTGGTACTGTGGTTATTTCCTGATGGAGTAATTGCTGATGGGATTGATCGTCGCTAAGCTTCTGACGTGAGACGGGAGCTGGCGCCGCACTAAGAGCTGTAGGGTGAGTCAAGATTTGGACGACCCAGGGGAGGAATGAAAGCTCAGGATCTCGGTCCTAAATGGCTTATCGAGGGGTTCAAGAAACACTGGGGTCCTCAAAAAATACCCTGAGATTCTAGTTTGCTTTCCCCGTTGCTAACGTCAATGAATTGATCTCTTAGGTAGATTCTGTTACTCTTCTGACATGCTGATGTGGATCGCAACACTAATACAGCGGACATCTAGACTACCTTTAGGAAACATCTGATCCAGAATGCCACAGATTCATGTTCAGCTCTATCCATAAATAATCTTTCAAATAACATGAATGCTAGAAAGTCAAGGTCAAGTTTGTTTCTTCTCGAGAAAAGTGAATGATGTGCTCCAAAAGGAGCCCCAGGGAGGAAAGAAAACTCAAGACCTTGACCCTAAGCGATAAAAGTACTCAAGTAAATCTAGCCTAAACTTAGGGGACTCTCTTCTAAGTTTATTCTGATACCCTATAATAAGGTTCGGTGTTCTTGTCCCCTGGGGGAGCCCTCGAAAGGCAGGAGCATCCGATTGCCTGCAGTGATTCATGGTCATAAGGGAATCAACAGTTCCAAAGAACTTGTCGTTTGCCTTGCCTTTTAAAGCTACCAATACATAATCATTCTCTAATTTCCATCAAAGAATCTATGGAAGATAGCCATTGGTGAAAGTGCAACTACTTCGTCCTCAAAGGATCGCAAAGTCGTTCGGAAGGCATGTGGCAGTGAAAACACCATCAACGACACAATCACGAGTAGGTATGCCTAAAAAGTTCCCTTGATCTACTAACCTCACTGAATTCAGATAGTAGTCACAATGTCTCTCACCCTAACAGATAAATGCGCGTGTCTACAATGTCACCGGAGGCAGCTTGCCGTCTCTGGCACTGCAAGTGACCGGCAACTCAGCAAACACTGCCAAGCTACGTCTTTTACTGGCAAGACATCAACAAAATCTGGGCCCAGGTAACCCAGTGAATCACAGTGGGAAAACTACGCCATCTCAAGCGCGCAATCTCCATCTTCTCTTCATCCTCACCGCTCCAACATCAACCCCTTTCTCTTGACACTGAAGCGCGCATTGTACACCCAAAAGACTATCACGAACACTAAATTACGCAAGCAAGTATCCTCAATAATCTCTGAGCAGACGCTCATTTTTCTTCATCTCTACTCGCCATGGAGTCGCGAAGTTGGCGTGATGGAGGCTCTGGCTCAGGCCAAAACTTCCGACCCCAGGTTTGCAGTCACTTCAAACGAGGGCATTGCAACTTCGGCAAGAATTGCAGGTTCCTTCATGATACATCGCTCCTTTCTGGAAGTTCTGTGCCACAGACTCCTGCTCCCAGCACAAACCGTGATATCAACAAGCGACAGACGATATGGAAAACTCAACTTCGCAAGGACCCCTCAAACTTTCGAGGATCATCTGGCATGAAAGAACTCCAAAAGTTCTGGCAGAGAGCACTAGATGTTCTGAAAGATGATGACCATGAGTTTCACCAGAAGCTTGCTCAAGAACTCGTCAACGACAATGGTAACGGTCCACGATACGTTCTCCAGACAGCGGAGGACGGATCTTCGTCGGATATTGAGGCTATGAAGCCTTCTTTCCTGTTTCTTCAGGTGATCTCTCACTCAAGCCTTACCGATCATCTATCTATTAGTACCCACATTGGCACCGTCTACACACTCTTTGCTGGTAGCAATGGAGATCGAAGCATTGGTCTGTTGAGCTCCTTGTGCGAGCAAGCTCTGGAAAGCACTGAGCTTATTACCGACATACTCGAGTCAACATTTCCAAACATCGTTCGAGTCCTCCTCACAGCGTTGAATCAACTGCTCAACAGAGTCCCACGAACGCGTTTATGCGAGGAACTACCTGACCTCATGGAGTCTGTAGACAAGCTTGTCACACAGATGGCTGAGAATAACCCCGACGCCAACCTGGATGAGTTTCTGAACCGTGTAGCGGTCTTGAAGAGAATGATCGATTCAGCCAAAGAGTTTTTCGATTCAGTTGAGTCTTCTGATAAGCGGCGAGGCAAGCAGCCTATTACCTCGACATTTCCCAAGAACATCGAGTATCCTGGAGGTCGACACGACAACGACTTTGCCGATATCACCAAGATTGCCATTCTTCCAACATATGAAGAAGTCGTTAGCGAGCAGGACGAGTATCTTCCATCTACCAACTTCACAGATCCCCATGTCCTTGACGATCCTTTGCAACGACACATCGACTCCATGTTCCGACTCGTTAGACATGACATCCTTGGCCCGGTCAAGGACATTCTTGCAGACCTCTTACGCTCTGATAACATCATGGCTGGACGCCTCTCGAACGGGAATCCACAGGCGCAAGTTTACCTGGCGACATGCGTTGAGAAACTCGTCAGCAGCAAGAAGCGTGGTACAGAAGCTGTCTTGACATTTAGGCCTCCCCAGCATATCCTCGACAAGTCACTTGAAAAACAACAAGCATGGTGGAAGGCTTCTTCTCGTCTGGGATATGGCACTTTGGTCTGTTTCTTGGCGCCTGGCATTGAGGGGGTGAGCATGCTCTTCTTTCAGGTCACCAACAAGAGCACCGGTCGCGCAGGAAAAGATGATGCCGACTCCAACAGCGACATTGCTCCGCTGTATGGTGCACCCAGCATCACCGTCAAGCTTGCAAATCATTCGCGAGATGATCTGCTCCTCCTGGCAAAGCTGTATAATACCAAAGCCCTTGGTGTACTCGTTGACTTCAATGGTGTCATTCCGGACACCTTTGTTCCCATCCTCAAGAACCTTCAGAGGATCAAAGGTGAAAACCACATCGCCTTTCAACAATGGATCCTTCCCAGCCCACCAGAGGACCGGATCGTCGCGATACCGGGCTACGCCCGAAGACTGGATTACAACTTTTCGCTGAGATGTATCACAAAAGACAAAGCGGTTGATGTGTCTCTTGACCCTGAGGAGCCTCAGAACTTGAGTATTGAGGAACTTGAGGAAGCGACTGGGCTCGATGCAGGTCAATGCCGCGGCTTGGTTGGCGCTCTTACTCGAGAGTACGCGCTCATCCAAGGCCCTCCTGGAACAGGAAAGTCGTACCTGGGTGTCCAACTTCTGAGAGTTCTGTTGGCGGCAAAGCAGAAAGCTCATCTAGGACCGATACTTATCATGTGAGTTGCTCTTTTCTTTCTTTATCTTATGTCTGCTTCATATACTGACTCATGATTCAGTTGCTACACCAACCATGCTCTTGATCAGTTTCTCAAACATCTCCTTGATGTCGGTATCACGCGCATCATTCGAATCGGTGGCCGTAGCGTAACACCAGAACTCGAAGGCCTCAACCTGCGCGTAGTCAGCAAGGAAACACAAAAGACGGTCGGCGAGCGCATGACCCTTGCCAGTGCGTTTACTCAGAAGGACTCGAGCGCATATACCGCGGCGGAAGCAGTGACCTCTCTACGCCTTAGACGAAATGGTCCGAGCTGGGAGTTGCTTGGTGATTTCTTAATGGAAGACAATTCTGACATCTACGAGCAGTTCGCAGATACAGCGAATGAGCTGACGGGTGAGGATGGTGATCCTCTGTTGATGTGGCTTGCTGCGGGAGACGCAGACATCCAAGAGCCAGCGAGATCCAACTTGATGGAAACAACTATCGCGGCGGAGAAAGATATCAACATGCTCTCTCGTTGGGAGCGTCATACTCTCGTTGAAGACTGGATGAAACGACATGAGGAAGAACAGACAGATGTTCTTTTCGAAGCGATGGACGACGTCGAAGAGCAGTGGAAGAACATCAACAGGGTACACGACGGTGTCAATCAGCGAACTCTGGTTCAGGCTGAAGTGATTGGGCTGACTACCACATCCCTAGCTGGCCGAATCGACATGCTCCGAAGTCTGAAATGCAAGGTCGTCATCTGCGAAGAGGCAGGTGAAGTCAAAGAGGCTGACATCATATCTGCTCTGATGCCTGGAGTTGAGCACTTGATCCAGATTGGAGATCACAAACAACTCCGGCCCCAGATCAACAATTTTGACTTGTCACTTGAGTCGACCTCTGGGCAGAAATGGCAACTTGATCGCAGCCAGTTTGAGCGACGAGCTGAGGGCGAGCCCGGTCTTTCACCAGCGCCATTCGCACAGCTCGACGTCCAGAGACGAATGCGGCCTGAAGTCTCGCGCCTGATCCGAGGAGTGTACCCTGATCTGAAAGACCACCAGAATGTTCAAAACCTCCCAGATGTGGTTGGAATGCTCGACAACGTGTTCTGGCTGGACCACTCTCACGAGGAGGATAACGGAGGAGATGGTACTCGTGTTCGATCCCATAGCAACAAATGGGAGACTGACATGGCTACGGCTCTGATTCGTCACTTGGTTCGACAAGGAAAGTACCGCGCCGAGGACATCGCACTCTTGACACCCTACATGGGCCAGCTTCAGCAACTCAAAGCCGCTCTTAGTAGCGACTTTGAGATCTGTCTTGGCGACCGTGACCGCGATCAGCTGGCACAAGAAGACTTTACAGACGACCTGACTTCTAACAAGACTGTCGAGAAGAAGAAGCTGTTGCAGACCATTCGACTTGCAACTGTCGACAACTTCCAAGGAGAGGAAGCCAAGGTCATTGTTGTGTCTTTGGTCCGCAGCAACCCCGAGCGAAAGGTTGGTTTCCTTCGAACCGAGAATCGTATCAATGTTCTTCTCAGTCGTGCCAAACATGGAATGTATCTGATTGGCAATACTGAGACTTACCTCAATGTTCCGATGTGGGCAGACGTCCATGAGATGCTTACAGACGCCAATGCTGTTGGTAAGGAGCTCAAGCTTTGCTGCCCTCGCCATCCCGCGACCCCGATCACCTGTTCTGAGCCAGAGCACTTCCTCACTCGAAGCCCTGAAGGTGGATGTACCTTACACTGCTCCCGACGATTGGAACCTTGTGGACATATGTGCCAGGCGACTTGCCACTCGGATGCCATGCACGATGCGTTCTCCTGTACACGGCCTTGCCCTCGCCTCAGAGCCACATGTGACCACATCTGTCCTCAACTTTGCGGTCAACCCTGTGGTCCTTGCCTGATCAAGGTCCACAATGTTGAGCTTCCTTGTGGCCATGTCATTGAAACACTGTCGTGCTACCAGACACAAGACTTGGCATCTGTCCAGTGCCCTCATCCAGTTGAGAGGGAGCTGCCTCACTGCGGTCATACCGTGACTATGAAGTGTCATCAACTGGGTAACACGGTGACACCCCATTGCATGCAGCCTTGTGGTGATATCCTCGAGTGTGGTCACCCATGTTCCGGAACTTGCTCAACTTGTCAATCAGGCGAGCACAAGAACTGCACCAAGCGTTGTGGTCGCGCCTACAGTAGTTGTAACCACCGATGCACTCGGAAGTGCCATACTGGAGAAGACTGCGGAAGTTGTTGGGAACCTTGCGAGGTAAGTCCACATATTGTACTCATGCTTTGGCTCAAATTACTAACCAATGTGTACTATAGGTTCAATGCCCTCACTCTTCTTGCAATTCTGTCTGCAAAAAGCCATGCGCCCCTTGTATTGAGCCTTGTACTTGGTCGTGTCCTCACGAGGGCTCTTGTTCGATGCCATGCTCAGCACCCTGTGATCGACTTCCTTGCGACAAACGATGCGACAAGATGCTGCCCTGTGGTCATCGATGCCCGAGTTTCTGCGGGGAGATTTGCCCTGTCGACTATTGTCAGGAATGCAGCAACAAGAAGATGGCCATCGTCGATCTTTTGGAGTTCCGGTCGTACTCCAAAATCAACTTGTACGAGACTCCGATCATCGTCCTTGGATGTGGCCACTTCTTCACCAGCGAAACTCTGGATGGCCTGGTTGGCCTCGAGGAAGTTTACACTACGGACATGTTTGGAAGTTATGCGGGATTGAAAGACATCACCACGTCCCTCACGGAGAAGACGCCCTGTTGTCCAAGCTGCAAACGCTCGATTCGACAGTTCGCTACCAAGCGATACAACCGTGCCATTAACCGAGCCGTAATGGACGATATCTGCAAGCGCTTCCTCATCAAGGGACGCGAATCACTGGTGAAGCTTAATCAAAAGCTTCTTAAGGCCGAAACTTCGCTTGCGTCGTCGCGTCGGTCAACAGCACCAGGGCATCACCACACAGCAACCACTTTCTTCAGAGAGCGACATATGGTAATTCAGCAAGTCGAAGACAACGCCATGGCTCTCCAGAAGATGATGGGAGAGGAGAACCAGCCCATCAAGAAGCTGTATGACGCAATCGCGACATCCCGACCTCAGGACTCTGGTGGTTCGCAGTCTGTCGCTCTATTGATGGACGCCATGAAACTCTCGCAGCCTTCACCTGACAACCAAATTCTCTTGGGAGCACGATTGCTTGCTATTGAAGCTCAACAGGTGCAGCTTATGGATGCATATGCAGTTTCCAAGATGAATGGATGGAAACTCCACGAGAATGCGCTCACTCTCCCTGTCACGGATAAATGGTTTAAAGCTTGCAAGGAGTTGATGGAGGAGGCGAATGAGGAGAAACTCCCGAGAATCTTTATCGCGGCGGTTCTCGCATTTGCCAAGGTTGCTAGAGCTTCAATTTGGACCAGAAAGCAGCCCAAGGGTGAGGATGACTCGTCCTCTGGTAAAGGCGACGAGAACAATACTGGACATGTTGCCACGGCTCGTGGACTACTCACCACTGCGCTTGAGTCTTGTTCCAAGTTCGCCGATGGAGAGACTCTGAAGAAGAGAGTCCAGGACATGATGGAGTTGTATGATCCCAAGTACGAAAAGACTACGCCAGAGGAACTGGCAGCGATTCGATCTGCCATGGTCAGCGGACCTCGAGGCATGGCAACACACTCTGGCCATTGGTACAACTGTGTCAACGGCCATCCGGTAAGTTTCCACCTTGATCACTGTAGTGAATAGCCTCTAACTTTGATGGTTCAATTAGTTTGCGGTTGGAGATTGTGGAATGCCCATGGAAGAAGCGCGCTGCCCCGAATGCGGCGAACCGATTGGTGGCTCTAGACATCGACCAGTGGAAGGTGTCACTCGAGCTGAGGGTATGGAAACTCCTGCGCGTCAAGCTGAGGGATCTGTTGGTGGACGAGTGCCAGAGTTGATTTGAATTTCATCATTGTCTGAAGTGATAATTGGAGGAGAAACTTGAGATGGACTGGAACATTGAAGGCTGGACGAATGTTCCCACTATGGATTAGTAGTTACTCTGGTATCGTGGAACGATATGGCGTGTCTATGGAATGGACAGGTATATGATGGGCACGGAATGCATGAAAACTAGTGTAAGAATATGACTGTAGAGTCAAATGGTATCACGATCATGCAAATGTCTACTGATGAATGTTTTCAAGGCAAATGGTATTGAAAGACGAACTGCTTAAACTGGAAACGCTACTTCGCAACTCCTTGATAGCTCCATCGTATACTTGCGCTTTTCTTCTCATACAGTCATAATACAGAACAAGATTACTCATACACTCCACCAACTCCAGTGCTCTGTTGCGGTGGATGTTTAATATCCATGGCCTGTCAATACGTCAGCGTCAAGTCGATCATATATCATCACAAATACTTACGTCCAAGAGATCGTCCCATCTTAGACATCTCCTTAGCCTCCATCTGCTTAACCTTAGCCCTCCTCGAATCCTCCTTCGCCTCAACCTCCAACCTCTTAACATGCTCCCTGGCCTCCCTCACACTAAGTCTCGCCTCCTCCAGGGCACGATCAGCCTCACGCTCGGCCCTCTCAGCATCCTGGACTCGCTCCCTGGCCTCCAGAACAGCAGGGTCATGCTCGTTGCGGTTACCGCCCAGACGAGACAAGAAGCCGCCGTTGGAGGTACGACGAGATGGGGAGCGGGATGATGAGCGCGAGTGTCGACGGTCGTAGGAGGAGGCTGAGCCGCGGGAGTGGCGGTGGTGGGAGGATGTGGATGTTCGTGTGGAGGTGGGCTCGTGGCGAGATGAGGAGGAGAAGAGGCCGTGCTTGCGGGGGGGTTCCTCGCGGATTGGCTCTGGGGAGGGTTCACGACGACCAAAGAGACCCATGATGATGATTTATAGTGATAGGTTATAAATGTAGTGTAGTGTAGTGTGTAAGTCACAGCGTGGTGTAAGCCGTGTAAGTGGAAGTGGATATCGTGTAAGTGATGAGTGAAGAAGTGATTAATCTGGAGGATAAAAAAGAAGCTTTTCGCACGAATCTAGGCGTCTCTTGGCCTCTATTTCTATTACTTCGCATCCCTACCTCTGATGCCATTCCCAACTACGATCGCCCAAACTTCAAACCTGCTTTGTTACCGTGACGTCAATGCATGCGCGCAGGGTCGCAAGGGTCCAGCCAATCATGATGTAGAGATGACGGTATCAGTGGCGTTGACGGTGATGACATTCAGAGCATCAAGAGTGAAAGTTATTGGTGTAAGAAAGATGATCAGTTTGATATGATGTATTGATGCCTCTGATATCATACTAGGCTTGGGGGTTGCTGAGAGGAATGTATCACGATTTGCCAAGCAAGATGTGAGAATTCTAGTGTCGACGTTGCAGGTTTAGAGTTTATCAACGGTTACACTCCGCAACTTAATTGACCGTCATCATCAATCTCATACAATAGCCTACCTAGCCTACGATCTCTGTGGATCAAAAGATCTACAGTCCATCCTCTCCTCGATGCTTGGGCTTCGCTCTGTCGATATCTCATCGTGTTCCCTCGTCAGCGTGGCTGTGCACTTTTGCCCCTCAAAGTCTCGGCACATTGGTCTCACCAGAACACAGAGTCAGAGCCATCTCATCAAGACACGCGCTAAATGAACAATTGAAGACACAAAGGCAAATTCCGTGAGGTGTAATCGGTAGACATAAAAAAAAATAAAGTAGTTGTGGCTAGAGCGTGACAAAAATGACTTCCTCGAGTAGTCTACTCCTCCCGCTAATTTGCCTCGCATTCCCGAGCGAAAATAGCCTGTAAATAGTAAATAGCAGAAAAACAACGCACAACACCAGGGTTCCCTATGTGCTTTATGCCGCACGATATATACAGTGAAAAATACCCATGACGGGCTAAAAATAAACCATGGGAGTCGAACAGAGCCCACATCCCTGCTTTCGTTCGATCACATTCGATGGGGATGACAGGTAGGTCTCTCGTATTCGATATTAAAAACGCTCGTATCGATCGTATCATGTTCACATAACCGTGCATCCGCCCTCCTCACGATCCTTCTTGACGCTGAGCGCAACACGCGCCGCCTCGGTGAAGGCCTCGTTGACACCTCTGTTCTTCATGGCGGAGCACTCGAGGTACCGGAGGGCGTTTATGCGGCGCGCCACCTCCAGGCCCTGGTCGTAGTTGATCATGGGGCGCTTCTCGCGGGGTTCGCCTGATTCGTTCTCCTCTTCCTCGCCTTGCTCGCGGAGATCGCACTTTAGCGCTACGAGGACGAGTTTGGTGCCGGGGCAGTTGTCGGCGATCTCGCCTACCCACTTGGATTCGACGTTCTCGAGCGAGTCTTTGCTGTCGACGGAGTAGCAGAGCATGATGAGATCTGTGTCATCTGCATGGCGTCAGTTTCGTTGGAGTTAGTAGGTATCGGGAGGTAAGTACCGTAGGATAGGGAGCGTAATCGGTCGAATTCTTCCTGGCCTGCTGTGTCCCAGAGGGACAGCTCGATGTGTACATTATCGACAAAGATGTCTGCGTTCGTTAGCGATGCGTGTACGCAGAAGAGCCGTGCATCCTACCATGGACGTAGTTCTCAAAGACGGTGGGTTCGTAGACAGTAGGGAAGTAGCTATAATCGATGAGCCTCTCTCTTCACGTGCAACTCCCTGAGAACATACCCTCTCGTAAAGACGTTCAACAGCGATGTTTTTCCACAAGCACCATCACCCCTAAATCAGATCAGCGCAATGCCCTCCCATTCCTCGTCGTATGTTACGCACAGCAACACCAGCTTTCGCTGCACAGTTTTGGATCCTCCACAAAGAGCAGGCATTCTGACAAATGTGATTCAAGTCGTGGGTTTCTCTTTGTAGTTTGTAGAAGAAAAAGGAAAGGACGGCTTGGTTTTTCGCGTCGTTTGAAATAAGTTGAATCTCGGTTCCGTCAAGGGCCCTGGCGTGCGCAGATCGAATTCGCAGGCGAGAAGAAAACCGTTGGCAGATATCGATAGACGGCAAGGCGAATTGATCCCGTTGAATGTAGGGGTTAGGAAATGAACGGTCGTTTTTCCAGATCGCGGAAGAGGAATAGAGATGCAAGGTTGTGAAATGGAAGTTGAGGTCAGAGAGAGGCCAGCGCAAGGGAAAATGGGGGGCACTGGAACTCTAGGCCTTGGGTCCTCTCGAGCAGTGGAGTCGACAGCGAGGAAAGCGGGCAGGGATTACCCTTTTTCGGCGCCTCTTGAGGGGGGATATGCAACCACATGACAGAATAAAACTCCCCCGAAGACCACTGTAAGTTAGGGGGCTTGTTTCTGTCTCTCTTTAATGTGTCCCCTTTTTTTCTGCACATCCTGTGGAACCACTTTCTCTTTTTCTTGCAGTAGCGTCGACCCGTCACGTTAATTGGCTCTTTCACCCGTCGCTACCAAGATTGCCTCTTTTAAAGTCCCGGTTCAATTGAATGCGCCAAAGAGGGTTAAGCTCCGAGTCTTTAATTCGATAGTGTTTAGTTCGATGACACTGATGCTACGTCGTAAATCATTGCGAATAACTAATCATATCCTGTGCATGAGAGAGAAGCGGTACCTGAAACTTGTACCTGAATTTGAGTTGAGTTGTGACGATTCATGGTGGCTTTGCGACTGAGTCGTAACATCGAAGTGGCTTCGTTTATTTTCCGCCCGCAGAAGCTGTAGGTATCACGCGGAAGAGGCGATATTGTAACGCTGAAAAAGCCATCTTGTTCAATATTAGACAAGAGACTTGTTTGTATTAAAACCTTGATTCGGTTTATGCCGATAACTCAACCTGACAGTACCAATCTAATCATGTCGTTCAAAACGTAAATGTGTAACTCAACAGAGGCCGCCCAATGTAGAATCCATTTCTAATCCTCGTCCCTTTGATATCCACGGCGCGATCCGCCCATACGGTCCGCAAGACCCTTGTGGCTTGCTTGTTGGTGCAGCTTGTTGATGAAGCTGCGATCACCTCCGCGCTCTCGAGCCTTGTCATCTGCTTCGCGAAGTGCTGCCTCCTGCTGTTCTAGTGCCGTAAGACGCTTTGAGCGATCTTCATCGAGCTCTGTTGCTGCGGACTGCATAGCGGCTAACTTGCGCTGCCGTTCTTCTTCCTTGGCTTTATCATCTTCTTCGTTGTATCGTGGCCGCCTGTCGCGAGAGTCGGGGTAGCTTCTTCGGAAATCTCTTCGACTTTCGCGGGGGCGTTCATCGCGTGGTCGCTCATGGCGGGAGCGGTGCTCACGTCTGTGTTCTCTGTCCTCTGAATCGTCGCGTCTTCGTCGCGAACGGTCATCTCGACTATCGTCTCTGCGTCGCCTGTGCCGATCTTCTCTTGAATCATCGCGACGACGTGGACTTCGCGATCGCGAATCAGAGCGTCGTCGTCTGTGGTGCCTATCGTCAGGATCGGCGCTGCGATGACGATGCCGCCTTCGGTGCCTGTCGTGTCGGTCTTCTCTCCTCCGTGACTTTTCCTTCTTCTTCTCATCGTCAATTCCCATCGAGGATAGTAGCTGTCGGCGCTTAATCGGGTCGTTCATCATGGCTTCGTAGGCAGCCTGTTCTTGTCGCTTGATAGCCAGTAGCGGATCGTCGCGAATCTTTGCAGCTGTATCCCTCGCAGTGTTCGCATTCTGCAGCGCCATGAAACTCTCCGCCCCCGCATCCTTCTCTAACTTCTTATGATCTGTGCCCTTGATAAGGTTGTCGATACGCCGCTTGCCCAGCAAGTAGGCTTCTGATTCTTCTGTAGTGCCGCCTTCTCCGTCGTTGGGGCCTTGATACATCCAGTCCACGCGATCAACGCGCTTTTTCCCTCCTGCAGCCTCGAGCTGTCGTTGGACTTCTTCATTTTTGAGTTCTTCCTTGATTTCGTCGATTCGCTGTTGTGTTCGCTTGCGCTCGGCGAGGGCCTTTTGCTCTTCATCCCAGACGGCCTGTTGATTGCGCCGCAGCGCGGGATGGAAGGACTTCTTCAAGTTGAGATCGCCTCCACCCATTTTGACGATCCTTTTGTGTGAATGTTTAGGAAGAAGAGGGGACGAACTTTGATGATGATGTGGAGGGAGGAAAGTTGGTTGATTTGATGCATGAGTATAGTGGAGTGGCAATTGTAGGCAACCAGGCGCAAAACGAGTAGATGCATGGGCCCCATATTTATTTTTATCCTCGAAACTTAGACCAATGATTGTAGATGACAGAAAGACTTCGACAGACTGCCGTAGAGTTGGTGGACTCGCTGATGAGTTTATTTTTACGTCCTCCAATACAGTCACAGGCTACTTACTCCCTGAGCTTATTCTCGAGGTTATCCAGCTTTTTAGCATTTGTATCGGTAAACCAAACCGCGAGACTCTTGAACCCGGCCGACACATCAATGGTCAAACACCAGACAGACTTCATCTGCCTGAAGACATAATAGCTGCCTTCAAAACAAGTCAGGAGGCATGGCGTACGCCTCCTCAGACACAAACATAACCCAGTGTGTCTGTTTCTTGTTCACGTCCGTCTCCTTGCCTATGACCCCCGCAGCCATGGACTTCCCTTTCCCATGAAGCTCAGTCCCATGCCATCTCTCTGGTCCTGTGCTGCATCAACCGTCAGACATAAAACATTCATTCACCTCACTAAGACCAATGTGAAAGTAACGGTTTAACTTATTTCGTCTTATATTGTACAGTCGTGTCTATGATACCCAAAATATCGCAGCGCCCTCACCATTGCGTAATCGTACATTTCTCCTTGTTGCTTGTTGATGACGGTTCGAACTCGTGGACTGCAAAAATCGAAGAGCAGTCTAGTGGGCGAAGTAATTTTTAGGTGCGGAATGAGAGAAGGTTTATAGGTTTTAGGATCGGATACCACTAGACCACTCTTCGACACAGGTAACAGAGTGGTTTCGGTATATAAGGGGTGTGTAGTCGTACATTTCCTCTCGTTCGTTTCCGTCTCCGACTCTTTACCAACTGGCTCGCTTCACACCAGGCAAGTTTCCAGCCATAGCCTCCATTCGGAAATTGTACTACAATCGTCAGTCCAATCCTCGACCCCTCGATCTTTATCGGACTTACTCGAGTCATCTTGAAGTCACTCAAGACACCACGTCCTTGACCACCCATGATACATCTGTTTCGAATCTGCGTTGGTCGAGTGTAGCAGTGCATCTGTGTCAATTGGAGCTGAGCCTCGGCGCGGACTCGTGGGGGGAGGGTCGTGTTGCGAATAATGTATCGGAGAGCTTGTCTATCGGCCTCGAGTTAGCCTTTTCCTCTTCGCGGGTAACCTTTCCGATCGGTCGTTTCTTGTGCGGCGGGGGAAGAGTTTGCGTACCTCTCGGTCTCGTGGGCCTCAAAGACCTTTCGCTTTGTGTGGTCGCGCAGGGTGCGGACGTTGACGAAACAGCCCAGATCGAGCTTCTTGGCGCGGAACATCGACATGGTGGGCGGTTTTGACGGGAATGTCGATGATGAAGCTGTCGGGAGATCTTGGATTGAGGATGAGCCAAATTCAAGATGGAGTTTGAATTGCCGAGGATTAGCCGGGCCTCTCAATTCATGCGCTCTTAGGCTGTAAGTCGAGTCTACCGACAGAGTTTGTCAGTGCAAATTGCTCATATAAAAGTAATTGGTGAGTTAGTGGTCGCTCGGGTGAGTTCTTTCAATATTACTCTCGTGTTTTATCAAGCAACTCCAAGTCGTGTTTTGGTTAGTCTTGATTGGCTCACTCGTATGGGCACCGATTGCCAATGATCCTAGCTGCAATGAAACAGATTTCTGTATTGATGTAGAGAATCATGCCTGTGCGGCATTGTTTCAAAAGAAACATATTGCATCAACCAGAATCAAAAATTGAATTCTTTTAGTGAACTTTTGAAGCTTTTTCACTTCATCTTGAGTGCATCTAGCTCTGTACCTGATCTAAACCTCATTGATCTAGGGTATTCATTGTGGAGTGGTGATCCCCAAACCGTCCAGGGGATGCTGGGCCTGGAATGCGACGTGACGCAGCCTCTGGTCTTGGTACGATTAGCTAACCGTGCATCTGCAATAACCCTGAACAATCAGCCCGATTCTTTCAACAATGGATTTCATGTCTCACATCTAACCACATTTCCTAGCTGATCCGTTTCCATCATGGATCGCAGCAGAGAGAATCTCCTCGATGGAGCCGATCGTGCTTCTTTTGACACAAGCGACGATTCCGATGCTTACTCTGACATCGACGCAACTGATTATCTCAACAAGAATAAGAATTCCCAATCTGAGGCTGCGGGCAAAAGGCGTCTACGATATCTTCGGAGCTGGCGCGCGAAGAAATGCTGCTTCACCGTCATTGGCACTCTGGTAGTTGTTTGGCTTGTGATCTCAGCGATTGGAGCATTTGCCTGGAAAAAGATAAAAGTACCGCCCGTTGAGGGAGACTCACCACCATGGTATCCCAGTCCCAAAGGCGGTACTTCGCAAAACTGGGCCAAGAGTTATGATCGGGCTGCTGAGCTGGTTAGTAAAATGACCTTGGCTGAGAAAGTCAACATCACTACTGGAACAGGATGGAGCATGGGTTTAGCAGTCGGCACGACTGGCGCCGCTAACAACGTCGGATTTCCGGCTCTGGCATTGCAAGATGGACCTCTCGGAATACGGTTCGCTGATAATGCGACTGCCTGGCCGGCTGGTATCACAGTTGGTGCCACGTTCAACAAGAAATTGATGTATGAGCGTGGCCGAGCTCATGGCAAGGAAGCAAAGGGCAAAGGCGTCAATGTCATTCTTGGCCCGGCCATCGGACCTCTTGGACGAGCGCCTGCTGGT